ATCATCTGCATACAAAAAATTTTAGCAAAAAAGTAAAGGGGGTGGTTACGTTTAGTAGTTTAGAAGGGTAGGTTGAAAGTACAAATAGGGTCAAAACGTGCCCTATTATGAGTTAAACATATTCCCCAAATTTCATTTTCCTAGCGTTTATGGTTTTCGAGAAAAAAAAATTAAAACAAAATTTTCCGCCATTTTTGAAGGGGTGTAGCTCCTTAGGGGAGCCGAAGTCGCCCATGGTTCATATATCAAAGTACCCTTCAAATTCACTAAAGAATCACCCCTTAAAGTTTGTTGCAGTCATTCAGATACACCCTGTATGTGATAAACTACTGGAACTATTTTTCTGAAAATTGTATATAGCGTTTATCCGAGGTGCACGTTTCGCAAAAAATTTTCAGTTTTCTCCAAATTCCGGTTATACCAGAAATGGACCCCAACTTCGTTATTTTAAATGGAATGTACCAATTTTTATTGAGAGAGAGAGAACTAATTCTTTATTGCTTATCGACCGTTAGCTTATTAGGCCCTGGTCTAAACAGTTTATATAAATAATGTAATAAATGTGCTTACAATACAATTCATAACAGTAATATAATATACATATAATTTCAAATATCTTCTTCTGTATACATCGTAAGTGCTTCATAGATTGTCCAATGTTTATTGCGATTATCTTCTTCGTCTTTTTTTTATCTTGCTTAGTTACCAAGATATTCGATTTTTAAAATGTAATTATTATCAAAGATTATTATCATTACCTTTTTTTAACATAACTTTGACATTTTTTAATATAAATACGTCGAGTTTGGCATCAAATGAAAAGGAATTTAAAATCTTATTCATCCATGATAAATTTGATAATAAATTATAAAGTAAAAAGATAAAGATAATGAATGGGAAATGTGATCTTATCCAGCTAGGACAGTAGGTATACATAAATGATAAAACATAAAATGTATAAGATGTTTTATTAAACATATTAATTTAATTGATAACATTTATTTCAAAAATTATTAACTACTGCGGAATTTATCGTTAAGTAAAGACAAAAACAATAACAATAAATATAAATTTAGTTCAATATTATTGTTTACCAAATATAAAACCCACAGATAAAGAAATCATTTAAACACGTCAATATAAATTTCCTCTGTAAACATGGTAAGTTTAAAATTTATTTCCATTGAGGATATTATTTCATGGACTTTTTTTTAATCAATTATATAAATAGGTTTATATTATTTTTATCTTGTTTAAACTTTGGTTTCATCAATGTTGGTGTTATTCTAAAGTTGTTTTGTTAAATTCAGATTAATTTATTTATTTATTATATTTGGGATGCAAACGGTAAGTTTGGAGTCAAAGAGAACATAGAGATCATTTTGTTTGAGAGTGTTAGAAGTTGAAATAAAATTCTATCTAAAATATTTACGGTATTACTACTCCAGAGGGCTATTTCGGGGATTTACCGAATTCTTTGAAACTCGATGTAAATATATACACGTTGCACACTCCTACCGGAACTACGTTCGTCGTTCACTCGAGCACAAACTCGCGCAACCAGGTCAAGTGTTTGTGTATTGTTCTGTGTTTATTAAGATTTAATGATATGCCGCGACAAACTGCAAAGAGATCCTTCGTCTGGGATCATTTTGTACGAAGAGGAGATGTCTCAATGTGTAGTGAATGTAAGCGAGAATTTAAATTCTTTGGCAATACTACAAATTTAAGTGAACACCTAAAACGAAAGCACCCAGCCTTATTATTACAAAAATCTAAACCTTCTGAAGATACATCATGAGAAGAAATTCGAGGTACACTCCCGTCAACTTCTACAACTGAAACTTCCTCACAACATTCTATAATACACCCACCGCCTTCCAAACGTAAACGTCAACTTGCTCTTTACGGAAAAACACAAACATACAATATTTCAGAAAATGAGCAAACCGAAATAGATCAAAGTTTAGTTGAAATTATAGTTTCTGATTTTCAGCCCTTATCCATTGTTGAAAATAAGGGGTTCATGAAATATACAAATAAACTTAATCCGCATTATGACTTACCGAGTCGAAAAAAAATTACAACTTCCCTGATACCAAATATATATACAGCGACGTTGAGTAAGGTAAAAAATGAGTTGAATTTGTCGTCAAATTCGTCTATAACAACAGATATATGGACATCATCATCTACGAAAGCATTTTTGGCAGTTACTGCTCATTATATAAACAGAAGCCAATTGAACAGTTACCTACTGGAAACAAAACAATTGGTTGATCGTCATTCAGCAGGAAATGTTGCCAGCGCACTTCGCGAAGTTTTTGAAAGTTGGGATATCTTTGAAAAAGTTCACTGTATTGTAACAGATAACGCTTCAAATATGAGAAACGCTATCACTGTTCATCTCAATAAGACTCACCAACCTTGCATAGCACATACGCTGAACCTATGTACCATGGACACCCTCAAACATACAGATCTACAGCAATTGCTCGAGAAATGCAAAAATATTGTGGGACACTTTAAAAGAAGCACTGTAGCATCTGGTGAACTGGCCAAAATGCAGGATCAAATGAAACTTCCTCTGCTAAAAGTGAAACAGGACGTTTCAACAAGATGGAATTCTTGCTTGGCGATGATGCAAAGATTAGAGGAATTAAAAGTTCCGTTGTCAGCAGCAATGTCCAATCTTCCCGGATCACCTTCACTTTTGTCATCGGAAGACTGGGCACTAATTAAAGACTGCATATGTATTTTAAAACCTATTGAAGCTATGACTTCCGAGTTGTAGGGAGAAAAATATATAACGTTGTCCATTATCATCTCCTTAATTCGTGGTTGTTGAGAATGCACAACCAATAACTTCCACGGGAAAGATATTGCAAACTAATTTTCATGATATAAGACTCCAGCTTAAAGATATTGGCCTTCGATAAGGTAATAAATGGTAATCAAACCCTTAAATGGATTACACAAGAAGTAGAGGATTTGATTGTGACTATCACTCAGCATCTAGAAACTCCAAATTCTGAAATACCTTGTACTCAGGGGCGTGCAGGTAAATTATTACTGTTAACTCATTTTCGTTAAAAGTTTTTTTTTTGTTTGTCATTNGATATATGGACATCATCATCTACGAAAGCATTTTTGGCAGTTACTGCTCATTATATAAACGGAAGCCAATTGAACAGTTACCTACTGGAAACAAAACAATTGGTTGATCGTCATTCAGCAGGAAATGTTGCCAGCGCACTTCGCGAAGTTTTTGAAAGTTGGGATATCTTTGAAAAAGTTCACTGTATTGTAACAGATAACGCTTCAAATATGAGAAACGCTATCACTGTTCATCTCAATAAGACTCACCAACCCTGCATAGCACATACGCTGAACCTATGTGCCATGGACGCCCTCAAACATGCAAAACTACAACAATTGCTCGAGAAATGCAAAAATATTGTAGCATCTGGTGTACTAGCCAAAATGCAGGATCAAATGAAACTTCCTCTGCTAAAAGTGAAACAGAACGTTTCAACAAGATGGAATTCTTGCTTGGCGATGATGCAAAGATTAGAGGAATTAAAAGTTCCGTTGTCAGCAGCAATGTCCAATCTTCCCGGATCACCTTCACTTTTGTCATCGGAAGACTGGGCACTAATTAAAGACTGCATATGTATTTTAAAACCTATTGAAGCTATGACTTCCGAGTTGTCGGGAGAAAAATATATAACGTTGTCCATTATCATCCCCTTAATTCGTGGTGTCCAACACGCTGTTAAGAATGCACAACCAATAACTTCCACGGGAAAGATATTGCAAACTAATTTTCATGATATCCTATTGAGGAGATTGGGTTATGTTGAATCTTCAAAAATTTGTGCAAAGGCGACATTATTGGACCCCAGATTAAAGATATTGGCCTTCGATAAGGTAATAAATGGTAATCAAGCCCTTAAATGGATTACACAAGAAGTAGAGGATTTGATTGTGACTATCACTCAGCATCTAGAAACTCCAAATTCTGAAATACCTTGTACTCAGGGGCGTGCAGGTAAATTATTACTGTTAACTCATTTTCGTTAAAAGTTTTTTTTTTTTTTGTTATTGCAATAGTTCGATAATAGAGCATATTTGAATATAAATTTTAGATTCCAGCGAGAACCAAGCTAGTTTACTTTGGGAGCATTTTGATATAAAGGCTAAGCAGGAATTCAGCGCGTCCACACCTACACATTCTGCCGAAGCACAAATAAAGCAGTACCTAGACCTACCATTGGTAGATAGGAAGCTGAATCCTTTAGACTTTTGGGAGTCCAAGAAGGAGATGTTCCCGGAACTATATAAACTTGCAAATAAGTACCTCTGCGTGCCAGCAACATCAGTGCCATCTGAGAGGGTATTCTCAAAAGCAGGCGAGTTAACAAAGGACAGAAGGAGTAGGTTAAGCAGCAATATGATCAACGAAATCATGTTTTTAAATAGTAATATGTAGTGCAATAAATATTTTCTTTGAAATATGTATTTTGACTGACCATCCTCCATATTATCATGGGGAATCAAATCATCATTCTTTTTTTACTTCATATTAAACAACTAGTAATGAATACAAACATAAAACGTGGATTCTACTAATCATTTGAGGCTCTATTTTATTGAGGCTAATTTAAATATTAAAATGAGACATTCAGAGAAGTCGGTAAATTCCCAAAACAGCCTTAAAGTAGTATGTCAGTCAATATTTTATATAGAATTTTATTTTAACTTTCAACATCGAATAAAAAAATAATCGAATAGAAATATAATCGAATGAAAAAATAATCGATTATTTTATTCGATTATTTTATTATAATCGATTATTTTTTAGAATAATCGATATCTCGAATGATCGTGTATAATCGGTTAATCGATTATGGTCATTCGATTATGCCCATCACTAATTGTTATCAAGGGTATTTAATAAAAAATTAAAAAATGAAATTAAGTTTGATTCTACTAACCTGCCCCGATAAAAGCCATGTTTTTCAGGCAAATCATAGATAAGGCGTTCAAAGACTTTTGGGGCTATTGACAGAGTAGTGATGGATATATGTATATCATATATCATTTTAAAGAGGAAAGTGACAGCTTTAATTTAACATCAAAATCTTTTTTTAATTTTCATAAATAACCCTTCCACAGTTTGTTAAGTTGTAACGTGCATTTTGACGTTTTTACTATTAAGATGAAATCGGAACAACATTTCAAATGTTTTTATCTCAAAATTTTTATAACCCATCTACATATATATCATATATCATTTTAAAGAGGAAAGTGACAGCTTTAATTTAACATCAAAATCCTTTTTTAATTTTCATAAATAACCCTTCCACTGCTTGTTAAGTTGTAACGTGCATTTTGACGTTTTTACTATTAAGATGAAATCGGAACAAAATTTGAAATGTTTTTATCTCAAAATTTTTATGACCCAGCTACATATGTATCATACATCATTTTAAAGAGGAAAGTTTCAGCTTTAATTTAACATCAAAATCTTTTTTTAGTTTTCATAAATAACATTTACACCGTTTTTTGAGTTGCAACTTGCATTTTGACGTTTTAACTATTAAGATGAAATCGGAACAAAATTTCAAATGCTTTTATCTCAAAATTTTTATAACCCATCTACATATATATCATATATCATTTTAAAGAGGAAAGTGACAGCTTTAATTTAACATCAAAATCTTTTTTTAATTTTCATAAATAACCCTTCTACAGTTTGTTAAGTTGTAACGTGCATTTTAACGTTTTTACTATTAAAATGAAATCGGAACAAAATTTAAAATGTTCTTATTCCAAAATTTTTATAACTCAACTACATATGTATCATATATCATTTTAAAGAGGAAAGTTTCAGCTTTAATGTAACATCAAAAGCATTTTTTAATTTTCATAGTTAACCTTTTCATAGTTTTTTAAGTTGCAACGTGCATTTTGACGTTTTTACTATTAAGATGAAATCGGAACAACATTTCAAATGTTTTTATCTCTAAATTTTTATAACCCATCTACATATATATCATATATCATTTTAAAGAGGAAAGTGACAGCTTTAATTTAACATCAAAATCTTTTTTTAATTTTCATAAATAACCCTTCCACAGTTTGTTAAGTTGTAACGTGCATTTTGACGTTTTTACTATTAAGATGAAATCGGAACAAAATTTGAAATGTTTTTAACCCAAAATTTTTATAACCAAGTAACATATGTGGGTCATTCTCAGAAAGGGTAGAAAAAAGGTTTATAAGAAAAAAATTCGTGTAATTAGTTTTCAAGGATATATATTTATAGAAGAAAACATATTAGTATAACAAAAGTTTTGTACTTTGAGAATATAATTAAATAATGAAAATAATGTTAAGTTTAAAGGTAATGGAGTTGAGAAGTGGTAACGGAGTTAACAAATAATAATTTAATTCCAAGTTTTGTTTCTAACATCTTAACTCATGCATCGAATGATGATGAATCTGTATATATAACGCTATAACGTAGAGCTGTTCTATACTCCATAGATCTAAGTTATAGTGTGAGCAAAGCTGGCCGGGTTCACAACACAGACATATCAGTTCTCTGAAAGTATGTCTATTCCTCAGTTAATTGATCCAGACTACTTTCATCGTACCTTTAAACGTAGGAATATTTTCTGGAATCAGTTCGTCGATAATAGGGATTAGTTTTTCATCGATACGAAAGATCTTGATCCCTTTTATTAAGTTTTGTAAGACTTTTACTAATGTGTCGTAATCTGGTGTGGATGCTTTTAATATACAACTAAGGTATGAAAAGTGTGGTAAGGTTGTTTGACAGACTTTACTACGCCGCAATTATATCTAAGATATCTGATGCTTTAAAGAGCCAAAGTGTGCAGATTGTACTTTTTCAGTATATTTACAGGAGTAATTTTTAGAAAAATCTATATGGATCAAGATTTCATCAACAGACAGATTCTTTTTCAATACATTTATACACCGATACTGATGGGATATATTCCTGAGGTGCAACATATATGTATCTCGGAATAGATTGTATCAATTCTGTAACTACTTGGTGTTTTTCTAGCTGCCTTTTTTGCTTGGTAAGTTTTTTACTATGTTCCCTCCATTCTTTCCTTTTACGTCTTTTATCTGGATCTGTTAACATTGATATCTTTTTTATTTTATCGCAATTAACTCTGCGGTGATACCGCTCTCTTTCCTTCAATTTAGCAATTTCATAAGCCTCAGGATCTTCTTCTCGTTGCGCTCTCAGTCTTCTCAAAGCATCCCTCTTCTTTTGATTGCATACTTTCTTTTTCTTTGATGTTGTAACCGCAGCCTCACTTAGGGCCTTACCTCTAGTTTTCACATTTTGGAACAAAAGAATAATAAAACGTAAAATCGAAATTATAGAGAAACATGGTGCATATAAATTTGGAAATTATCACATTTGAGCACTGTTTTCTTTTTCTTTAGCTTAACTAAATGTTGGATACATTGAAAATAAAATATTTACAGTACATAATGCGTTATAACTGTTAAATGTGGTTGTAAATGCTACTGCCTAACATTAGTAACGGAGTTGAAATTCACGGAGTTGAGAAAACGCGCTTTCAAAAATATTCAAAATTAAATTGAATTAGATTTTATGCTGATAGTTGCATACCGTGTTCGTATATTTTTTAGTAATTTACTTAATGTAATTACAGTAAGAAATCACTTAAACCTTACCTTTCACGACAGGTAACGGAGTTGAGAATCCGAATAGCCAGAAAAATATTTGTAGAAATCAATCAAAATCTTGAATATATTCAGCGTGTCAACTTTATATTTTTTAACAGTTATAGTGTCATACTAATATTAACTTCCCTATGCAGTGTTAACAATGAGCCGGGTAACCATGGCGACACGAATATTTATATTACAAGATATGGTAACGGAGTTGAGATTAAAACGAGGGACGCAACATTTTCGAGATTAATTTAACACCAAAATGTATAAGAAATTGCAAACCATCTTCAAATCGATTTGTTAATTACCCCATATAAAAAAGACAGTAATAAAACAATATAATACTATTTTATTTCCGATTTAGAAATAGTTTTAGTTGCAATTTTACCAGAGGGACACCTGAATATTTAATGAAGTGCGAACCAACTTTTAAAAATTTTTGAATTTTGTGTACATAAAATATTTGTTACTTTAATGTAACTTAATGAAGTGATGCTAATGAGCCTCACCATATAGCTTTTTGCTCGAATGAATCTAATTATCTAAGTATATAAGATTTAATATTAGAGGGACACTGTTTTAGCCCTTCTGAGAACGACCCATGTATCATATATCATTTTAAAGAGGAAAGTTTCAGCTTTAATTTAACATCAAAATCTTTTTTTAATTTTCATAAATAACCCTTCCACAGTTTGTAAAGTTGTAACGTGCATTTTGACGTTTTTACTATTAAGATGAAATCGGAACAAAATTTCAAATGCTTTTATCTCAAAATTTTTATAACCCATCTACATATATATCATATATCATATTAAAGAGGAAAGTTTCAGCTTTAATTTAACATCAAAATCTTTTGTTAATTTTCATAAATAACCCTTCCATGGTTTTTTGAGTTGCAACATGCATTTTGACGTTTTTACTAGTAATGATAAGATGAAATCGGAACAAAATTTGAAATGTTTTTATCTTAAAATTTTTATAACCCATCTGAATATATATCATATATCATTTTAAAGAGGAAAGTTTCAGCTTTAATCTAACATCAAAATCTTTTTTTAATTTTCATAAATAAGCCTTTCACAGTTTGTTAAGTTGTTTTGACGTTTTTACTATTAAGATGAAATCGGAACAAAATTTCAAATGCTTTTATCTTAAAATTTTTATAACCCAGCTACATATGTATCATATATCATTTTAAAAAGGAAAGTTTCAGCTTTAATTTAACATCAAAAGCATTTTTTAATTTTCATAGTTAACCTTTTCACAGTTTTTTAAGTTGCAACGTGCATTTTGACGTTTTGCTATTAAGATGAAATCGGAACAAAATTTCAAATGTATTTATCTCCAAATTTTTATAACCCAGCTACATATATATCATATATCATTTTAAAGAGAAAAGTTTCAGCTTTAATCTAACATTACAATCTTTTTTTAATTTTCATAAATAACCCTTCCGCAGTTTTCTAAGTTGCAACGTGCATTTTGACGTTTTTACTATTAAGATGAAATCGGAACAAAATTTCAAATGTTTTTATCTCAAAATTTTTATAATCCATCTACATATATATCATATATCATTTTAAAGAGGAAAGTTTCAGCTTTAATTTAACATCAAAATCTTTTTTTAGTTTTCATAAATAACATTTACACCGTTTTTTGAGTTGCAACTTGCATTTTGACGTTTTAACTATTAAGATGAAATCGGAACAAAATTTCAAATGTTTTTATCTCAAAATTTTTATAACCCATCTACATATATATCATATATCATTTTAAAGAGGAAAGTGACAGCTTTAATTTAACATCAAAATCCTTTTTTAATTTTCATAAATAACCCTTCCACAGTTTGTTAAGTTGTAACGTGCATTTTGACGTTTTTACTATTAAGATGAAATCGGAACAAAATTTGAAATGTTTTTTCTCAAAATTTTTAGAACCCAGCTACATATATATCATACATCATT